GCTCACGCCTGTAATCCCAGCACTTTGTGGGGCCGACGTGGGTGGATCACCTGAGGTCAGGAATTCGAGACGAGCCTGGCCAATATGATGAAACCCTGTCTCCAGTAAAAATACAAAAAACAATTAGCCAGGCATAGTGGCAGGTGCCTGTAATCCCAGCTACTTCGGAGGCTGAGGCATGAGAATCGCTTGAACTCAGGAGGCGGAGGTTGCAGTGAGCTGAGATCACACCACTGCACTCCAGTCTGGGTGACAGAGCAGGACTCCATCTCAAAAAATAAATAAATAAATAAATAATAAAATGGTACAGCTGTTATGGACAACAGCATGACAGTTCTTCTAAAAGGTAAAAAGGGCCATATGATCTAGCAATTCCACTTCTGGATGTTTACCCCAAAGAAATGAAAGCAGAGCCTGGGCACAGTGGCTCATGCCTCTAATCCCAGCAATTTGGGAGGCCAAGGCAGGTGGATCACTTGAGGTCAGGAATTCGGGACCAGCCTGACCAACATGGTGAAACCCCATCTCTACTAAGAATACAAAAATTAGCAGGGCGCGGTGGTGCGTGCCTGTAATCCCTGCTACTTGGGAGGCTGAGGCAGGAGAATCGCTTGAATCCAGGAGGTGGAGGTTGCCGTGATCTGAGATCACACCACTGCACTCCAGCCTGGGTGACAGAGAGAGGCTCCATCTGAAACAAACAAAAAAAGAATTGAAAGCAGGGACTCAAATAGATATTTATACACTCATGTTCATAACAGCATCATTCACAATAGCCCAACAGTACAAGCAACCCAAGTGTCCATTGAAGGATGAATGGGTAAATAAAATTTGGTATATGCATACAATGGAATATTATCCAGCCTTAAAAAGGAAGAAAATTGTGACACATGTTACAGCATGGGTGAACAATGAGGACATACTGCTAAGTGAAATAAGTCAAGCATAAAAGATCAAATACTGCATAATTCCACTTATATGAGGTACCTGGAGTAGTCAGATTCACAGATACAGAAAATAGAATGGTTAGCCAGGGCTGGGGAGAGGGAAAATAGGGAGTTATCATTTAATAGGTACAGAGTTTCAGCTTTGCAATTTGAAGAGTTCTGATGATGGTTGTACACATTGTGAATGTATTTAATGCCACTGAACTGTGCACTTAAAAATGGTTATGATGGTAAATCGTATGTGTATTTTGCCACAATTTTTAAAAATAAGAAAATGCATAGTAAGAGTATCACCAGAAAAGAATACAATTCAATGGTTGTTAGATATTAATAGAGTTTATGCAACCATTGTCACATCAATTTTAGAACATTCTCATCACTCCCCAAAGAAATCCTCTACCCATCAATAGTCACTCTCCATCACCCTTCCCTCCAGCCCTTGGCAACCATGAATCTACTTTCTGTCTCTATGGATTTGCCTATTCTGGACATTTCATATAAATGGAACCATACAATATGTACAATATGTAGCCTTTTGTGTCTGGCTTTTTTTTTTTTTTTCCAAGATGGGGTCTCACTCTGTCACCCAGGCTGGAGTGCAGTGGCACAATCTCAACTCACTGCAACCACTGCCTCCTGAGCCCAAGCAATCCTCCCACCTCAGCCTCCTGAGGAGCTGGGACAATAGGCATATGCCACCACACCTGGCTAATTTGTTGCATTTCTGGTAGAGACAGGGTTTTGCCATGTTGGCCAGGCTGGTCTTGAACTCCTGAGCTCAAATGATCCTTGTGCCTTGGCCTCCTAAAGTGCTGGGATTGCAGGCATGAGCCACCGCGCTCGGCCCCGGCTTCTTTAACTTAGCATAACGCTTTCAAGATTCATTCATGTTATAGCATGTATCATTATTTTATTCTTTTGTTTTTTGTTTTTTGTTTTTGAGACAGAATTTTGCTCTTGTTGCTCAGGCTGGAGTGCAATGGTGTGATCTCAGCTCACTGCAACCTCCGCCTCCCAGGTTCAAGCGATTCTCCTGCCTCAGCCTTCTAAGAAGCTGGGATTACAGGTGTGCACCACCACGTCCAGCTAATTTTTGTATTTTTAGTAGAGATGGGGTTCACCATGTTGGTCAGGCTGGTCTTGAAATCCTGACCTCAGGTGATCTGCCTGCCTCGTATTTTATTCCTTTTTATGGCTGAATAATATTCTCCATTTTGTGTATCCATTCACTAGTTGATGGACATTCAAATTGCTTTTATTTTTTGGCTAATTTTTTAATGTGAGAAGATGAAATTTATTTTTATTGTATAAATGCAAAAATTACAGGAAAATATTTTAAAGCTTTAAAAAATGCCAAGTGACATTGATACAGGAAAATCACAAAGCAGGAGAACTATACTAAATTAATAGATTTCATTTTAAAATGTCTCATTGTATCTCAGATTTTGAAAGATTCCATTTCTGTGGAAGACAGTTGATTCTGTTGAACTTATAATGACCCCCAGTTTAATTAATAAGTACTGATAGCCATTGATCTATTTCTTTTGGGGAGGAGATAAGAAAGATGTATATACATTCTGTGTACATGTAATAGACACAATTTTCTGGATCCAGCCTTAGCTCAGGGTTTCTGAAATTTTTTTTTTTACTTTTATTTTAGATTCAGGGGGTACATGTACAGGTTTCTTACATGGGTGTATATATTGCATGATGCCAAGGTTTGGGCTTCTAATGTTCACTCAAGTAGTGGACATAGTACCCGATAGGTAGGTTTTCAACCCTTCTGTCTTCCCTCACTCCCCCTTTTGAAATTCCCAGTGTTTATTGTTCCCATCTTTGGGGTCATGTGTACCCAGTGTTTAGCTCACACTTATAAGTGAGAGCATGCAGTATTTGGTTTTCTGTTTCTCTGTTAATTTGCTTAGGATAATGGCCTCCAGCTTCATCTGTGTTGTTGCAAATGTGTGATTTTATTCTTTTTTATGGCTGCATTTGGCTATTTTGAATAATGCTGCTAATGAACATTCATGTACAAGCTTTATGTGGACATATATTTTCAGTTCTCTTGGAGATTTAGATATCAGTGGAACTGCTGGATCATATAGTAACTCCATGTTTAACATTTTGAGTAACTGCTAAACTCTTTTTCACAGCAACTGTACCATTTAAAAAATTTGCCAGCAATGTATCAGTGTTCTAATTTCCCCAGATCCTCACCAAAATTTGTTATTGTCTGTCTTTTTCATTATTGCAATCCTAGTGGGTTTGAAGCATTATCTCGCTGTGGTTTTGATTTGCATTCTCTTAATGACTATTGATGTTGAACATTTTTTCATGTGATTATTGCCTATGTGTTGCTTGTGCTTTGGGTGTCATATCTTAGAAACCATTGCCTAATTCAAGATCACAAAGATGTACCCATCCATCAGACTTACTCCTAAGATCTGCCTCTAAGAATTTTATAGTTTTAGCTCTTACATTTAGGCCTGTGATCCATTTTGAGTTAGTTTTGTATATGGTGTGAGGTAAGGGTCCAACTTCATTCTTTTGCATGTGGATATCCAGTTGTCCCAGCATCACTTGTTGAAAAGACTATACTTTCTCCATTGAATGTTCTTGGCGCTCTTATTAAAAATTAATTGGCCATAACTGTATGGGTTTACTTTTGGCTGTAAGTTGTATTCTGCTGATCTATATGTCTATCCTTTTGCTATGATCACACTGTCTTATATACTGTAGGCTTTTTTTTTTTTTTTTTTTGAGACAGGGTCTCACTCTGTCACATAGGCTGGAGTGCAGTAGTGTGATCGTAGCTCACTGCAATCCTCAAACTCCTGGGCTCAAGATATCCTCCTGCTTCAGCTTCCCAAATAGCTGTAACTGTAGGCACGCACCATCATGCCTGGCTAATTTTTGTTGTTGTTGTTGTTGAGATGGAGTTTTGCTCTTGTTGCCCAGGCTGGAGTGCAATGGTGCGATCTCGGCTCACTGCAACCTCTGCCTCCTGGGTTCAAGTGATTGTCCTACCTCAGCCTCCTGAGTAGTGGGGATTACAGGCATGCACCACTATGCCCAGCTGATTTTGTATTTTTAGTAGAGACGGGGTTTCTCCATGTTAGTCAGGCTGGTCTCGAAATCCTGACCTCAGGTAATCCGCCCGCCTCAGCCTCCCAAAGTGCTGGGATTACAGGGATGAGCCACTGCACCTGGCCTCCTGGCTAATTTTTAATTTTTTATGGAGTTGGAGTCTCACTATGTTGCCTGGGCTGGTCTCAAACTCCTGGTTGCAAGTGATCCTCTCACCTTGGCCTCCCGAAGTGCTGGGATTACAGGCATTACACCTCACCCAACCTTGAATAGTTTTGTCATACAATTTGAAGTTGGGAAGAGTGAATCCTCCAGCTTTGTTCTTTTACAGTATTGTTTTGGCTCTTCTGGATTTCTTGCATTTCTGTGTGAATTTTAGGATCAGCTTATTGATCCTGCAAAAAACCAGCTGGGGTTTTTATAGGAATTGTGTTGGTTCTTCACATCAATTTGGGTAATATTGCCACCTTAACAATATTAAGTTGTCTGATACATAAACATTTAGTGTTTTTCCATTTATTTGGTCTTATTTAATTTCTATTAACAATGTTTTATAGTTTTTAGTGTACAGATCCTCCTATTCTTTGTTAAATTTCTTCCTGTGTATTATTCTTTTTGGTGCTATTGTAAGTAGAATTGTTTCTTTTAATTTTATATTCAGGTTGTTGATTGCTAATATATAGAAATATGCTTGATTTTTGTATATCAGTTGTATACCTACAACCCTATTGGACCCATTTATTAGTTTGTATAGCTTCTATTTGTGTGTATGAATCCAACTAATTTTTATATCCTCTGAAACACTTAACAGAGTGCAGAGTCTTAATTAGTACTCAATCCATTTGTGTTTCTTGAATCAATCTCTTTAAATGCCACATTGTCACATAAGCCTTCCATCCAGTGAATAATTTCTCAGTTCCCAATACCACTGAATCATTCTTTTTCTCCTTTAATTTTTATCTGCAGGCTTGGGAACAATGGGCCGAGGCATTGTCATTTCTTTTGCAAGGGCCAGAATTCCTGTGATTGCTGTAGATTCAGACAAAAACCAGCTAGCAACTGCAAACGAGATAATAACCTCTGTCTTGGAAAAAGAAGCCTCCAAAATGCAACAGAGTGGCCACCCTTGGTCAGGACCAAAACCTAAGTTAACTTCATCTATGAAGGAGCTTGGTGGTGTGGATTTAGTCATTGAAGCAGTATTTGAGGAAATGAGCCTGAAGAAGCAGGTCTTTGCTGAACTCTCAGCCGTGTGCAAACCAGAAGCATTTTTGTGCACTAATACTTCAGCCCTGGATGTTGATGAGATTGCTTCTTCCACTGATCGTCCTCACTTGGTCATTGGCACCCACTTCTTTTCGCCAGCTCATGTCATGAAGTTGTTAGAGGTTATTCCCAGCCGATACTCTTCCCCCACTACCATTGCCACTGTTATGAACTTATCAAAAAAGATTAAAAAGATTGGAGTTGTTGTAGGCAACTGTTTTGGATTTGTGGGGAATCGAATGTTGAATCCTTATTACAATCAGACATATTTCTTGTTAGAAGAAGGCAGCAAACCAGAGGAGGTAGATCAGGTGCTGGAAGAGTTTGGTTTTAAAATGGGACCTTTTAGAGTGTCCGATCTTGCTGGGTTGGATGTGGGCTGGAAATCTAGAAAGGGGCAAGGCCTTACTGGACCTACATTGCCTCCAGGAACTCCTGCCCGAAAAAGGGGCAATAGGAGATACTGCCCAATTCCTGATATGCTCTGTGAATTAGGACGATTTGGCCAGAAGACAGGTAAGGGTTGGTATCAATATGACAAGCCATTGGGTAGGATTCACAAACCCGATCCCTGGCTTTCCAAATTCCTATCACAGTATAGAGAAACCTATCACATTGAACCACGTACCATTAGCCAGGATGAGATCCTTGAGCGCTGCTTATATTCACTTATCAATGAAGCATTCCGTATCTTGGGAGAAGGGATAGCTACTAGCCCAGAGCACATTGATGTTGTCTATTTACATGGATATGGATGGCCAAGGCACAAGGGCGGGCCCATGTTCTATGCTTCCACAGTTGGGTTGCCCACAGTTCTAGAGAAGTTGCAGAAATATTACAGGCAGAACCCTGATATTCCCCAACTGGAGCCCAGTGACTATCTAAAAAAACTGGCTTCTCAGGGAAACCCTCCCCTGAAAGAATGGCAAAGCTTGGCAGGCTCCCCTAGCAGTAAGTTGTGATTCAGCCTTCCAGATTATGCCTCACATGCTAGCATCAGGTAATGCTCACGAATTTCAGTGAAATTAAATGAAAAATCCAAAGTAAGATTGTTCTGAAATACAAAGCAAAAGAAATAATCAGTAGAGTCTTCTGTGTGACGACTCTAATGGTCAAATCTTTAGGAATGTGTTTCCTATGCCTCTGAATCTGTCCTTATCAGATAAATTCAATGCATGAACTTGTGTGAATGTAATATCATAATCGCTGATGAAAGAGGCTCAGGCATAAGTTGAGATTCTCAGATGTTTTGATCATTGGATAAATGTGTCATCAATTAATAAATGATAAATGCAGCTAAGTCATACATTGATTTTGACTCCTTTCAATGTCACACACATAGTATTGATCAGAAATCTTATGAATCATACATACACTCAACAAACATTAAAGTCGTGGGGAAAACAGTTGGAAATTGCTAAGGGAACTGAGTACTTCAAACCATTACAGGGAACTCAGATTAGTATGGCAAGCCTTTCCTCTTCTGGTCTTTCCTCTTCTGTTTATGAAGAAATAATAGAAAGGAGTAAGTCGTTAACTTAGTGTAAGAAGGGTCTTAGAGAACATCTAACCTTCTAGAATTTCCCAATTCTATGATAGAGTAATGACGCCAGTTTCCCTGTCATGACAGGCCTCTGTGATGTTACATATGGAAATGGTTGAATCTTGAAAAATCTAAAATTGTTGCAAAACATATTTTGTATAATTTTGTTATAAGAGTTCTTCTCTTTTTACGTTTTGCGTTGTGTAGTTAAAAATTAAGGGGCTGGTCAATACAAAAACTTGTACACAAATATTTATAGCAGAATTATTCATAATGGCCAAAAGTTGGATAAAACCCAAATGTCTATTAACTAATGAATAGATAAATCTGGTATATCCATACAATGGACTATTATTCAGCCATAAAAAGAAATAAAGGACCAGGCACAGTGGCTCACACCTGTAATCCCAGCACTTTGGGAGGCTGAGGCAGGAGGATTGTTTGAGGTCAGAAATTTGAGACCAGCCTGGGCAACATAGCAAAACCCTGTCTCTATAAAAAAATACTTCCCGTACATTAGTGGTTGCCTAAGGCTAGAATTAGGGGTGATGAATGGGGAGTACAGGATTCATCTAATAGGTACAGGATTTCTCTATGGAAATGAAAATGGTCTAAACTTATTGTGGTAATGGTCACATAACAATATATTAAAAATGATTGAGTTGTATATTTTAAGTGGGTGAATTATATGGTATGTGAATTGTATCTCAATAAAGTTGTTAGTAAATAAATGGGGCTGAAGATGTTATCCTTCATTGTGGTGGAAATGAACTTTCACAATATTTTCACCTGTGAACCCAGACAAAATGAAAGTTCTGATGGAAAAATCTTGAATGAATAGAGTATAAGTTTTCCGTTGTTAAAGAGCAAACAAAAAACCAATAAAAAATCCAAGTGTGCCTTGAATTGTACAGAGCACAATTATTACGTTTGAAATATATACTACTTAATTTTATATAATTTGTTTGTGAAATCAAAGACATCAATGAAAATGATTCCTGAAAGTAGTAATTTTGTCTCCAAAGTGACTTGTTTTCAAATTAATGTTTTTAAAAAAACCCACTAACTTTTTCTTCAATCCTGGAATTAATTTTGAGTTCTTGCAACTTATTTTCACCCTACACTAGCCTCTAGATTGAGGTTTTGAAATTAGAGCGTCTATGAATAGATTTTATCAGTCAATAATCCCTGAAATGTTATGATAAAGTTTGTGTATATGTATCTGAGTACATTTCTTGGAAGAGGTACCATATCATATTCTAAAAAGTATCATGACTCGGCCGGACACAGTGGCTCACATCTGTAATCCCAACATTTTGGGAGTCCAAGGCGGGCAGATCATGAGGTCAGGAGATCGAGACCATCCTGGCTAATACGGTGAAACCCCATCTCTACTAAAAATACACAAAATTAGCCGGGTGTGGTGGCACGTGCCTGTAGTCCCAGCTACTTGGGAGGCTGAGGCAGGATAATTGCTTGAACTCAGGAGGCAGAGGTTGCAGTGAGCTGAGATTGCGCGGCTGTACCCCAGCCTCGGCAACAGAGTGAGACTCCATCTCAAAAAAAAAAGTATCATGACCCAATAAAGGTTAAGGACCAATAGAAAATGGGAAGAGCAGCCCAGCACGGTGGCTCATGCCTGTAATCCCAGCACTTTGGGAGGCCAAGGTGGGCAGATCACTTGGGGTCAGGAGTTTGAGACCAGCCTAGCCAACATGGTGAAACCCCGTCTCTACTAAAGATACAAAAATTAGCCAGGAGTGGGGGCGCGTGCCTGTAGTCCCAGCTACTCAGGAGGCTGAGGCAGGAGAATCCCTTAAACCCAGGAGGCGGAGGTTGCAGTGAGCCGAGATCTCACCACTACATTCCAGCCTGGGTGACAGAAAAAGACTCCGTCTCAAGAAAAAAAAAAAAAAAAGAAAAGAAAACAGGAAGAGGAAAATATGAGTTCATTCCTTCTTATTTTACATCAAATGAAGCCAAACTAATTCAAATTTGCTGGGTCCTACATATAATAGTAGTTAATATGATGAAAATTTTCAGGATATCCTCTCCTGTCCTTGAAAATATACTTGCTTAAAAGGCTGATTTTGTTAATAATTTTAAAACATTTGTTTAAGAAAAACCTCTGATTTCATTTTTAAAAATATGTTCTAATGATAATTGACTGTGACGGGAATTATATATTGGAAACACCCTTGAAGCTGTAAGACTCCCAGCTTGAAAGACGCTCTTAATGATACTCCTTAAATCAGTGAAGCCGCCATGCAGCTGCAGTTGCTCTCTGTTTATTTATCTCCAGCAGGAACAGGTGTGCATGAGAGAGATTAAAGTGAGGAATTCTAAATTCCCCTGATTAATGATGTTACAGAATTGTTTATGCAAATCACACTCTACTGCACTGTAGGAACCTAGAATTTCTAGGGCCTTAGATTTGTCTTTAAAACAGACACCTAGAAATCAGAAATATTGCAGCCTCACTAGATTATCTGAACCCTTTTGGTAGCCATTGATAAGATTAAATCAAGTTCTCTGGACTATGTTTAAAAGCAGCTTTTTGCAAGAACAGAATAGTTCTGGACTACTCCTGGGACTGTCAGTACCATCTGCTTATCTTAACAGCTTATACGTATTTTGAGATTAACAGACAAGTTACACTGCTTCCAGGCAGGACAGCAGCATTGCACAACTCCAGCGGACACCATTCATACTGTGTACCAAGGGACTGTCATCCACATAGAAATGATATGAATGACATCCCCAGGAATTGTATAATGCCTAGTTTTGTTTCCAGGACACTCTGTGTAGCGGTTTCAAGCCAAAAACTCTTCTGGTTATTGCTGTATCTTTCTAAATAATAGTTGACAAAAGTGGTTCAGAAAATTTCTATTTAGACTGGATCACCAATGGGACCAAATTTGGAACAAAATGGGACAAAATGTTTGCGTTTTGTTTGTTCTTTTTTTTTTCCTAGCACCCTGAGAAAGAGGAATATGAGAGAGATGAACAGAACTTTAAATTCTTGTCCAAAGAATACCAGGGCATTTAATTTATTTTTTGTTTTTTGTAGAGACTATGTTGCCCAGGCTAATCTCAAATTCCTGGGCTCAAGCGATCCTCCTGTCCCAGCCTCCCAAAGTGCTGAGCCACTGCACCCGGTCTCCCAGGGCATTTCAATTGAAATATTTATTTGTTCTCTTTCACCCAAACTTAAAGTAGCCTGGCAGAATGAGTGCCTGAAAGCATCTCATAAGCTGACATGAGCAGAGCTAATGCAGTCACTCATGCATGCATATTTTCACTGTTCTTAGGGCTATTCCACACTCTGTAAAGACACACAAACAGTTGCTAATTCTAGCCATAGTGTGATATCCCTAGGATGAACTTAGGACAAAACCTTCTCCAACCAGATCCTAAATGCACATGGATTTCCAAAGCGGGCCGAGGTCTAGAGTGTTGTTGATTTGTAAACTGACCATTGGCTGTCCCCCAACGTTTCTCTTCTTATGTAGGAATGAATGTCCCAATTGTTAGCTAAGCATATAGTGGCCCAGAATACACAACGTATTTGTCAGCTTCTCTTACATGAAATTGTGGATATGTGACTAAGTTCTAGTTAATGAGATGTCAGAGAGAGTGTCACATGGCCGCTTCTGGAAACTGGCCTTCACCGTCAGATGATGAGCAGCCTTTGCCCATCATTTTTGTCTCTTCCTCCATCTTCCTGCCTGGAACACAGATGTGATGGCTGGAGTTGCAGCCACTAGACTAGACCACGAAGACAGAGGCCAGGCCCTGAAACGAAGAGCAGTAAAGAACATGGGTCCCTGAGGAGCTCGTGGAGCAGCATTAGCCACACTACCTCCAGCAGCAATCAACTCGTATCATGGAGAACTTGGTGTTATTTTTAAGTCTTTACTCATGACTGACCCTAAAATCTGAATGAATGCAAGTGGGATCCAAGAATTGGTACAGTTTGGGGTTCTTTGTTTTTTGTTGTTGTTGTTTGTTTTTTTCTCAGTGCTATAGGCAATTCTGATACACAGGTAGTTTTATTTATTTATTTATTTTGGGACAGAATTTCACTCTTGTTGCCCAGGCTGGAGTATAATGGCGCGATCTCGGTTCACTGCAACCTTTGCCTCCTGGGTTCAAGCAATTCTCCTGCCTCATCCTCCCAAGCAGCTGGGATTACAGGCACGCGCTACCACACCCAGCTTATTTTTCTATTTTTAATAGAGACAGGGTTTCACCATGTTGGCCAGGCTGGTCTTGAACTCCTGACCTCAGATGATCTGCCCACCTCGGCCTCCCAAAGTGCTGGGATTACAGGCATGAGCCACCAGGCTCAGCCACACAGGTAGTTTTAAGAATCTTGTCTCATTAAACAAAATTTGTTTTTTTAAAAAATGTTTTTGCCAGTCTCATGTGTTTTTCAACCTGATATTGAATTACTCAGAAATTTTTGTATGTTCCACATATAATTGTTGTGGGCAGACGGAGATGCCCACTAAGAACCTGAGAACAGGGCTGTAAATAAACATTTAGTAGGAAGTAGTCTCACAGGCCTACTTGAACCTCAGCTTGACTGTTACTTAATTAGAAATAAAAAAATTCATGAAGAAAATATGTATTAACAGAAGGAGAAGTGATCAACAATAGCATAAGGGAAAAAGGAGAAAAATTGGAAAAGCAGCATCTCTCAGCACTGACTAAAAGTACTAAATCTGGGGTGCATAAACTTTCTGCTCACTAGATCAGAGATCTCCAAAATGGGGTGCCTCTACCCAAATGAGTATGAAAAATGATCCATAGAGGTATAGGCAGAAAATACTAGAACTACCATTGCTACTTATTTTTGCCTACAAAATAAGAACTTAACCTTGATTAATATTTTGTGTGCTGATGTACACTGTTGCCCTCAACAGGTTGCATCTCAGACAGCTATGAGGTGTCCTGAGCAAAGCAGGCAACATCCAAAATGCAGAGGCTGACAGTGGTATCCTCCCACTTTCATTTGTTTTCAGCGTATTCAGAAATATTGCAGATTCTATGTAATGGGGTAAGTGGATATTCAGACTAAATTATTGAATTTAACTAAACTAACCCTCACAAAAAATTCCTTGAAGGGAAGCCCTCTTAAAAAACTTTCCTTGTGAATGGATAAAGAAAATGGGGTACACATACACAATGGAATATTGTTCAGCCGTAAAAAATAATAAATCCTGTTATTTCGTGGTAACATGGATAGCACTGGAAGACGTTGTGCTGAGTGAAATAAGCCAGGAACAGAAAGCTAAATACCACATGTTCTCACTCATATGGGGAAGCTAAAAAAAGCAGATCTCATAGAAGTGAAAAAAAGTAGAACAGAGGATACTAGAGGCTGGGAAGGGTAAGGGGAAAGGAGGGATAGGGAGAGAGCTGTTAAAGGATACAAAATTACACCTAGATGGGAGGAATAAGTTCTAGTGTTCTATACCGCTGTAGGATGATACAGTTCACAATAATATGTTATATAGTTTCAAATAGCTGGAAGGAGAATATTGAATATTCTAGACTCAGAGAAATGATAAATGTTTGAAATGATGGATATGCTAATTAACCTGATCTGAACAGTATACGGTGTATGTATCAAAACATCGCCATAAGTCCCATGAATATGTATAGCTATTATTTGTTAATTAAAAAATAAAATTATAAAAAAAGGATTCCTTCAAAGAAAGCACAAGGGAAGATGAAACAAAGCAAGCAAAGGTGAGCAACGAGACAATGGCAGAGCTGGTAGTTCTGGTGTCAGCTTTTAGTCAGCTGCATTACAAGGTAGAATGAGTTAGTCAAATCTTGCAAGAAGTTGGCCAAAAAATGGAAATTATCGAGAAGATTATTAGAAATTTTGATTGATGGCCGGGTGCGGTGGCACACGCCTGTAATCCCAGCACTTTGGGAAGCTGAAGCAGGTGGATTGCCTGAGATCAGGAATTCAAGACTAGCCTGACCAACATGGTGAA